ACCCCTACAAGAGTGCAAGGCAGGGAAACCCCCAACAACTGCAGGTCAGTTTTGACCATCGCGAAGGTCGGGCTAACTCCCTGAACCTTTTATTACCTTCATATGGCTCCAGTCAATGTGTGTCAAGATTTTTCGGAGCCTTTGACTGAGGCAAGGAAGAGTTTGATCTGCGGTCTTTCTTCAACCATAATTGGTGTGTTGTCGTAGGCACCCAGAATTAAAACCCAAAAAATACACGTAGTAGTGTGAGTAGGGATCGTTCCCACGGAGAGTGTCTAGCCGAGTTTTATGTTACGTGAACCAGTATGTGGGGGATTTGAGCAAAAACAGAAACAATTTCAGGAAAAGAAATTCAACCTAAATTACCGAAATCAATCAAAATAACGAAACTTGGTCTAAGTCAACATCCACCATCAGAATCTTACAACTGATCATTGATGCAAAAATAAATCAATTCTTATTTTGAGTATTCACCGTTGGAACTATTTTCCTATCTCTCCTTAGATGTAATTAATTAGGAAACAAGCGATCTAATTAATCTTACTACTAAATAACCCTGGACAAGCGCTAAAGATTTAATCTAGTGGCAGCCTTAAGACGTAGAGAGATCGATGAAGCTGAACAACACAAACACAAGCGGTTGTATTTAATTCAGTCAAATGTTCTTCTTAAGACTTAATAATTCCTGACACAGCAAACTTTTAAACCTTAATTACTTCACAAGTTAAAGGGATCAAACAATTACGGATTTGATATCTAACTTAGCAGTAGATTGCAACAAATAATAAACTAGTAGGCCTCCTAGTAATTAAACGCAACAATCATGACAATATGCATAGAAGAACATTCAATACTCAAAACATAAATTGAACACTAAAAAATTAGATTAGATCTCACAGTTTTATTGATTCTAAGGCCTCCGTTTCCTTCAACCAAGTTATGAAAGTTTAGCCGCTCATGGCTATGAAAAACTCAAGAAAAACGAATTCCAGAAGAGAGGAAGAGAGGCGTGTGTCTTTTTTCTCCAAACTGATCTCTCTCCTCTTAAAGATATCTAATTCAAGTATTTGAATTCTATTAAATCTCCTCAAAATATCTAATATCCTAAAATAACATCTATCCTAATCTGATTCTAATTAATTGAAAATAAAATAAAGTCCTAAAATAAAATAGGAAAGTGGTGTGTCCAACTGTAACTTGTGTGCAATAGGTATTCAAATCTTCCAATAACAAACTGCCTAATTGACTTGCATGATAGGGCAGAATGTTCCAGAACATCGGCAATGCAGGTGCGTCAACTTCAAGCTCGATTATAACCTTGATGCAGCGAGTATGTCTCCAAACTCAAAACATGAAAGTTGTATATCTCTTTCTTAGGGTTCCAAGCATTTTGAATCATCTCAATCGGAGCTTGGATGAGATAGTTATGCCCAGATTACAAAGTTATGTCAAAACTGTCCGAATTCACCTAATTAGTTCTGTTTTGCATTTAACGCCTCCATTTGCATCCTAAATCAAAATAGAATAATAATGAGTACATTTAGGCAACAAATAAGTATAAAAGACTAGACATTAAGGGGGGTAAATATGACATTTTACATTCTCATCAGTAATCGTGAGGGTCGAACCTACGTTGCGAAAAGTGATCCCCTGGTAGCTGCGCTACCTCAGATTGAGGAGTTACAGCAAGCTCTGGATTAGCTTAGAGCTCAGCAAAATGAGCGTGGGCAGGTCGTTGAGTCGTATCCCTTTTCTCTAGCCGTGTTAGTTGCTCACCTCTTGTCGAGGTTTAGAATGCCTGATATGCGAGCATTCGATAGGAAATCTGATCTGTAGGATCACCTCTATGAGTTTAACGACCTCATGGAGCTTTACCAAGTTTCCAACTTGGCCAGATGTCATTGTTTGGCAGTGACCCTGATTGCCCACGCCAAGCGTTGGTTTAGATCACTTCCGCTAGGATCTATTAACTCGTGGTAGCAGATGAGCTCGTTATTCTTGAGACACTTCCAGGCGAATAGGAAGTTCTCAATGCCGTTGAGCTATCTGAGCAACATATGGCAGAAAAAGAATGAATCCCTCCAGTCCTACATTGACAAGTTCCACAAGAAGATGCACAAGGTGGCTAACACACCTGAAGAATCTGTTCGGACTCTCATTATTGTGGGAGTTCGCCCGCAGACCGACCTATGGAAGAAGCTGCAATCCGAGGATGACATTTCCCTCACCTGCTTCTACGATCTTATGGAGAAGTACCTTCGAATAGAGAATTCTATGGTCGCTTTTAATCGCCATGACCTCGGTCCTTCAACCAGTGCTCTTAACCAAGGGGAGGGTAGTAGAAGAGTTGATTGCAGGTGGGCTAAAGATGATCAGCAGAAGGGAAAGAAGCAGCGATTTGAACCTAAGAAATCCTATGCCTAGGATCCTCATCGCGACTGCGACAAGAATCAGTATACTCTTCTGAACGCGTTAGTATCAGCTATTCTGGGCAAGTCAGAAGAGGCTAGCCTGCTTGGAGAGTCGACGCCCATGAACAATCCCCCGTTGGCAAGAAACAACAAGGAATATTGTCGTTAGCATCAGGATAATGGGCACTACAACGATAAGTGTCAGGCTCTCAAGCAAGCAACTGAAGACCTTATCAAGCAGGGGCACTTTAAAGAGTATGCTGATGGTTCAACTCCCATTCGGGAGAAGGATCAAGAGGAACAGGGAAAGAAACGTTATGGTCGTAAGGGTCTCTACTTCATGGGGATCATCTTTGGAGGACTGCACATAGAGAAATTTCGAGGTGCCTAGGAAAGGTACGCTCGGAAAGCTCACCATGGCCTCGTGAGTATGATGAGCACGGCGTCGCAACCCACTAAGGTTCATAGAGAAGAAGAGATTACCTTCTCAGAGAAAGATGCGGTGCGATTAAATCATCCCCATGAGGATGCAATTATCATCACGCTGAAATAGGTCGGTGCGAAGTCCACAGGATATGGTGGACAATGGCAGCGTTGTGAACATCCTATTTCAGCGAGCTTTTGAGGAGATGTAGTTGGACAAGGCAAATTTGAGGCTTGCCTTTATCTCTTTCTATGGTTTTGCTAGGGATCATTTGATTCTTAAGGGAACAATCGCACTTCTCATCACTTTGGGTGAGACTAACGAAGTGACTAAGATGACAAAATTCTTAGCGGTAGACTGTCCATTCGCTTTTAATGGCATTTTGGGATGACCTCTACTATGAAGTTTCAAGGCCATCACCTCTATTTATCATTTGAAGATAAAGTTTCCCCCTCCGACAGGGTGTGGGGAAATGAAAGGTTCTTAGAGTGAATCTCGCGACTGTTATGTAACGGTAGTGTAGATGGCATGCAAAAGGAAATGAAAGCCAGTGGGCATTCCCGAGTAGGCAATGACGATTAGCAAGATCTAGTCACAATCGGGTCCAGTGGAAGATTGCATAGATCCTCATGTTCAAGAGAAATATTTCCACAGTGGGCTAGTTGAGTCTCTATTGGAGGTATCTGTCGACCAGAATGAGTCGACGCGAGTGTTGAGAATCGGGACTAATCTCAGCCCACAGCTCACTGCAGATTTAACGAGCTTGCTTAGACAAAATATCAATGTTTTAGTATGGACTCATGCTGATATGGATGGGATCAGCCCGAATATAATATGTCATGCACTCAACATTGATAGCGCAGTCAAGCTGACTTACCAGAAGTAGACCTAGCAAAACAAGTCTGAACCCACGGGTCGGCCCATACTCGAGTAAAAAATATAGATATGGGTCCAATTTATTAAACCCATTTTTTGAGACCCGTACTCGTACCCGGCCCAATTACACACGGTTTATACTGGTGAACCTGCAGGCACCCGCGAGTACCCGTATTTGCACTAATGAATTTGAATCACTAACCCACAGTAACCCCTAATTTTATAACGCATTCAGCCATTCACGTGGTCATGCCTCTCACGCTCAGTCTCATCTCATCTCATCTCTGATCTCTCACATCTCTGATCTCTCACTCTCATCTCATATCTGATCTCTCACTCTCAGTAACTCTATCGCGGCCGTATCTCATCTCTCAGACTCACAGTAACTCAAATCTCTCCTACGGTCCTGCCTCTCAATCTCTCATCAGTCTTCTTCGTCCCTGAAGTTCAACTCCCTGTCTCGGTGTCTCCCTCTTCAATTAATCATCAATTCGTTTCATATTTATCAACATCTTAAAAGTATCATGATATTCCTTGAATAGGTTCTGCCTCCCAATCTACATCGACAAATGGGAGCACTGATAAAAATCTCAGTTCAAGGTCAAGTTCAGATGTTTCAGCACCACCTATAAACACTGCTTTGGGAGGAAAAGCTTCTCTTCAGCCAAAACGTACACCTGTCTCTGAGAAGGAGATAGAGGCCATTCTGGTGAGAAAAATATCCTTTACCATATACAATGGTGGAACTAACTGTACCATTAAAGCTTAAGATTTTTGACAAGGAGTTATGTTGCGTCATGCTTTAAAACAATCTACATTCTCTAAGCTTCTACTTGAATCTTCCTAGTTGAACTATAAAAAATACAATTTTACAATGTTCACTACTTTATTGGGAACAATGAGATCTCATCAATGAGCTTTTCAGGATCAAGGTGTGAAGCACCAGACGGGGTTCGATATTGTTTCTGTGCATAGTAGTTTAGACTTTAGATTCATTGTAGTGTCAATTTGAAAACTTCAAGGCGATTATGAAATATTATGCAAGGGGTGACTCATAGAACATAGTAAAAAAATAAAAATTGGTTTGGCATTTTAAGCCAGTAAATTTTCTGTATGCTAATTTTAGCTTCTTGTTTCTGATGCAGTTGGGAGGTTGCTTCTGATCTTAGGATTGGTATGCTATATTGAGGAAATGCAATCATTACAGTGATGTGGGGATGAATTATTTATGATGATTTGGTTGGTTTGAGTTGAATTCTCTGGTGGCTTATTTTTTATGAACTCTATCCATAAGTAAAATGATTGATGTTTAGATGACAAAGACTGCATCTGAATAAAATAAGTAATGAATTGACCAAAGAATAATCAATATGCAGGTCTTGGCAAGCAAGAGCAAGATCTATATGGTCTTAGAATACGTTACCGGTGGAGAGTTGTTTGACAGAATTGTAAGAACCTATTTGAGACAATGATTGTTTTAAGGTTTCTTGTGAGCATTCACCTTAAGTTTATCCCAATAAGTCATATCTTGCAGGTATCTAAGGGAGGACTTCCTGAAGCTGGAGGAAGGAAGCTCTTTCAGCAGCTAATTGACGCATCAGTTACTGCCATAACAAAGGTGTCTTTCACAGGGATCTCAAGGTATATGATCATTTCTGATTCAAATGTAACAGATTGTATCATGCGATGTACTATTTTGCGAGCTTATCAATTTAATATGATGCTGGTTATTTGACATCGCAGTTAGAGTATGTTCTTGTTGATTCGAAAGGAAATATAAAGATATCTGACTTTGGCCTCAGTGCTCTTCCTCAGCATTTTAGGGTAAGTCTTCTACTTGCGAAAGCGTTAAGATTCTAAGAATTTTTAAATAAGGTCAATTGCTGATAGCATTGTTCAATTTCATCTGAAATGTCAAGATGACGGGTTACTGCATACAACCTGTGGAAGTCCAAACTATGTTGCACCTGAAGTTCTTGCCAATAGAGGTTATGATGGTGCTACTTCAGATATATGGTCGTGCGGCGTTATCTTGTATGTAATTCTCATCGGATACCTACCCTTTGATGATAGAAACCTTGCCATTCTATATCAAAAGGTAACAAAAAGTTGCTTATCATCTTTTCTCCTTTTATATGGACCTGTGATTGAAGACATTTACATGAGTAGAATCTCATTATATGCTATGTGTTTTGTTAAGAAATTTCAGATTTTCAAGGGAGATGCCAAGATACCAAAATGGTTATCACCTGGAGCTCAAAACATGTTAAGGAGGATTCTTGAACCAAATCCTATTAAGCGAATGACAATGGCAGATATCAAAGTCGAAGAATGGTTCAAATAAGATTATACTCCTGCGGATCCCAATGATGAAGACGAAGATATATTCATCGACGGTTAAGCCTTCTCAATGCAGGAAGCGGTATGAACTCTGGAAATTCTCTGTTGTCTACCATTGTTGGGAAATCCTATTTTACCATAACCAATATGCTATGTGTTTTGTTGAGAAATTTCAGATTTTCAAGGGAGATGCCAAGATACCAAAATGGTTATCACCTGGAGCTCAAAACATGTTAAGGAGGATTCTTGAACCAAATCCTATTAAGCGAATGACAATGGCAGATATCAAAGTCGAAGAATGGTTCAAATAAGATTATACTCCTGCGGATCCCAATGATGAAGACGAAGATATATTCATCGACGGTTAAGCCTTCTCAATGCAGGAAGCGGTATGAACTCTGGAAATTCTCTGTTGTCTACCATTGTTGGGAAATCCTATTTTACCATAACCAATATGCTATGTGTTTTGTTGAGAAATTTCAGATTTTCAAGGGAGATGCCAAGATACCAAAATGGTTATCACCTGGAGCTCAAAACATGTTAAGGAGGATTCTTGAACCAAATCCTATTAAACGAATGACAATGGTAGATATCAAAGCCGATGAATGGTTCAAACAAGATTATACTCCTGCGGATCCTAATGATGAAGATGAAGATATATTCATCGACGATGAAGCCTTCTCAATGCAAGAAGCGGTATGAATTGACCAAAGAATAATCAATATGCAAGACCTGCATATTGATTATTCTTTGGTCAATTCATTACTTATTTTATTCAGATGCAGTCTTTGTCATCTAAACATCAATCATTTTACTTATTGATAGAGTTCATAAAAAAATAAGCCACCAGAGAATTCAACTCAAACCAACCAAATCATCATAAATAATTCATCCCCACATGACTGTAATGATAAAGATAGGAAATACACAATAAAAAACTTCTAAGGGAATCTTTAGCATTTTCATATTTGCATGTGAAGAAGTTGTAATCTCTTTTTTTCCTTTAATCATCAATTTTCCTGATTTGAGTAGTTGATTTAGGGGGTGTAAATGTAAAAAACTAAAATTGCAAGAATTTTGGGGGAGTAACTGTCGTAATTGAAAACTATTAAGGGTGAAAAAAACTAAAATTTGGAGAGAGAAAAAACGGGTCCACCCACGAGTCCACCCATACCCGTATAGGGTAGGGCACGGGTCCAATATTTTGGACCCGTATATCTCGACCCATACCCGTTTGACCCAAATCGTACCTGACCCACCCACTCGTTTTGCTAGGTCTAACCAGAAGACAAGACCCATCGATCTTGGTGCCACTTAGGAAGTAAAGGATACTTATCAAAAGTTCCTTGATGATACTGATGGCGTTCAATGCTTGATGTTAGCATCGATGACACCAGTGCTACAAAAGCAACATGAGAATATGGACGCTACTTCCATTATTCTACACCTCAAAGAGCTTTTCGAAGGAAATGCTCGACATGAGAGGTACAAGGTGTCGAAAGCACTGTTTGGGAGTCGTCTGACTGAGGGAGCCCAAGTTGGTCCTCATGTGCTCAAGATGATTGAGCACATAGAGAGACTTGAGACTTTGGGATTTAAGTTGGATGCAGAATTACAAATGAATTTGATTCTGCAATCCTTGCCTAACTCTTATGCACCGTTCATAATGAATTTCAATATGAACATGATGGTGAAACCCTGTCAGAACTCTTGAACATGTTGAGGACTACAGAGCAGGACTTGAAGAAGTCTAAGCCTATTTTACTGGTTGCTGCCAGTAAAGGAAAGGGTAACGGTAAGGGTAAGGCCAAGGTCAAACCCAAACCCAAGCCTAAGCCCAAGCCCAAAGGACAGGTTGCTCTTGGGCCTAAGAGTGGCATAGGGAAGGGCAAAGTAGTATGCTTCTTTTGTGGCAAGCCTGGCCATTGGAGGAAACACTGCAAGGCTTTCCTCGCAAGTAAGAAGAAGTCAGATACTAAGACTTCAGGTATGTTTATGATTGAGATTAACTTCTCTCTCTCAACATCATGGGTCATTGACACAGGATGTGGTACTCACATTTGTACTGATGTGCAGGGACTAAGGCAGAGTAGAGTGCTCGCCAAGGGAGAGGTGGACCTACGAGTTGGAAATGGAGCACATGTGGCTGCATTGGCTATAGGGACTTACTGTTTATGTTTGCCTACGGGCTTATTGTTGGAACTACATAACTGTTATCACATACCTTCTATTTCTAAAAATATTATTTCAGTATCCGTTTTGGATAATATGGGGTATCATTTTGAGATATCTAATGGATTGTTGTCCTTTAGTTTGAATGGTATTCTATTTGGAATTGCAAGGTTATATAATGGATTATATGTTCTTGATTTAAACAATAAAGATATTCTCAATGTTGAAACCAAGAAAGCTAAACATAGCGATCAAAACCAGACATATCTCTGGCACTATAGATTGTGTCATGTTACTAATACTCGCATTGCAAAACTTCAAAGGGATGGAGTTTTGGACCCTTTTGACTTTCAGTCGTTTGAGGTATGTTAGTCGTGCCTGGCAAGATGGCCAAATCTCCTTTCACAAGACAAGGTGAAAGGGCTACTGAGCTGTTAGGCATTATCCATAGTGATGTATGTGGTCTACTAACAGTTGAGGCCAGAGGTGGATATTCATACTTCATCACATTTACTGATGATTTTAGTAGATATGGTTATGTCTACCTTTGAGACATAAATCTAAAGCCTTTGATAAATTCAAGGAATTCAGGAATGAAGTACAAAATATGTTGGGCAAAAGTATTAAAGATCTTCAGTCGGATCGAGGAGGTGAATATTTAAGCTCAGGGTTTTCAGAGTACTTGAAGGAATGTAGGATAGTATCACAACTCACCCCTTCTTATACACCCCAACACAATGGAGTGTCTGAAAGGAGGAACAGGACCTTACTTGACATGGTTAGGTCCATGATGAGTTTTAGTGATTTACCTGCATCGTTCTAGGGTTATGCTCTACAGACTGCGACTCACGTTTTCAATCGTGTACCGTCAAAGTCTATAGATAAGAATCCATATGAATTATGGAGTGGGCAAAAGCCCAGCTTGTCTTATCTAAGGATTTGGGGTTGCGAAGCTTATGTTAAGAAATTGACTTCAAACAAGCTGGGCCCAAAATCTTGTAAATGTATATTTGTGGGGTATGCAAAGGAGACCAAAGGATAATACTTCTACCACCCAGAAGAGCGCAAAATTTTTGTTGCTTGATCTGGTGTCTTCCTAGAAAAGGAATATTTTCTAAGAAGTACTAGTAGGAGAAAAGTAAAACCTGATGAAGTTCTAGAACCACAAGATATACTAGACGAAAGACGGGATGATGTGTCACAGGAAGTGGTTGAACATCAAGAGGAGGTTACTCCATAACTTGTGGATCGAAGTGAACCACCTCAGGTAGCACAGGAGCTACATAGATCTAGGAGAGTATGCCATGAGCCCGAGAGATACGGTTATCTCGTAACTCAACATGTTGATGTACTAGTCTACCAAGACGATGAACCTAAAACCTACGAAGACACTATATCGGATCTAGATTCTGTTAAATGACTTGAAGCCATGAAATGTAAGATGGACTCCATGTACCAGAACCAAGTATGGTCTCTGGTGGAACCACCTGAAGGGGTAAAACCCATAGGGTGTAAATGGGTCTTCAATAAGAAGACTGGCATGGATGGCAAGGTGCATACTTATAAAGCACGATTGGTTGCCAAAGGTTTCAAACAAATTCATGGTATTGACTATGAAGAAACCTTTTCGCTGGTTGCCATAATTAAATCCATCCGGATTATGCTTGCGATTGCTGCATATCATGACTATGAGATTTGGCAAATGGATGTCAAAACAGCTTTTCTGAATGGGAACCTTGAAGAGTATGTGTATATGACACAACCCGTGGTTTCGTTCTTGATGGGCAAGCTGATAGGGTATGCAAGTTGTAGAGATCCATATATGGACTCAAGCAAGCTTCAAGGAGCTGGAACATTCGTTTTGATGAAGCCGTAAAAGAATTCAGTTTTATCAAGAATGAAGATGAGCCCTGTGTTTACAAAAAAATGAGTGGGAGCGCAGTAGTATTCCTAGTGTTGTATGTCGATGACATACTTCTGATCAGGAATGATCTATCGAACTTGCAGTCGGTAAAGACTTGGTTATCCAAGTGTTTCTCCATGAAAGACTTAGGGAAAGCGGCCTACATCCTTGGTATAAAGATCTGATAGATCGTGTATGTTGCTTGGCCTAAGTCAGAATGCATATATTGACAAATTACTAAAAGGATTTAGTATGGAAGAATCCAAGAAGGGATTTCTTCCGATGTCACATGGTGTTTATCTCTCTAAGGAATTATGTCCTAGAACACAAGATGAGAGAGATAGAATGAAGAGGATCCCATATGCATCAGCAATTGGATCCATCATGTATGCCATGCTATGTACACGGATTAATGTCTCATGTGCTTTGAGCACTTATAGTAGATATCAATTGGATCCAAGTGAGCGTCACTGGATGGCTGTCAAGAATATTCTTAAGTACCGGAAGAGGACTAAGGATATGTTCTTGGTTTATGGAGGGAAAGATGAGCTCACTGTAAGAGGATACAGTGATGCTAGTTTCCAAACAGACAAAGATGATTATCGATCTCAATCAGGGTTTGTATTTTGTCTCAATGGGGGTGCAATGAGCTAGAAAAGCTCCACGCAAAGACTATAGCTGACTCTACAATGGAGGCTGAGTTTATTGCATTATCAGATGCGGCCGAGGAGGCAGTCTGGATTAAGAAGTTTGTCACTGAACTTGGTGTGGTTCCCACGATTGTTGATCCAGTAGACATTTATTATGATAACAATGGAGCAATCGCTCAAGCCAGGGAACCACAGTCTCATCAGAAGTCTAGACACATATTAGCCGATTCCATCTCATCAGAGAGATAGTTGAGAGAAAAGATGTGCAGATCAGTAAAGTGCATACTGACGACAATCTCACAGATCCACTAACAAAGCCTCTGTTGCAGCAGAAGCATGAAAGGCACTTGAGATCATTTGGTATTAAATACATGAATGATTGGCTATAGTGCAAGTGGGAGATTGTTAGAGTAGATGCCCTAGAGCCAATCAATTATTGTAGAATTGACTCTTTGTAATAATGTTCATTAATCAATAAAAGGCATTTTATTCTATATCGCGTAAATCATTATTATTGCAATATGTATTGATATATGTCCTTAGAATGGTAGAACCGTGACGAGGGTATCAAGTGTTTCAAATCTTGATAGTGAGAACCCTATGAGCACATATGGTGGCCATTCTAGAAACGTCCGTAGCCCCAGTATTATTCTGAAGTAAGGGCACAGATAATACGGTAAGGCTATCATAGTGTTGAACGACCCTGTCGAAAGGCAGTGACTGATCTCACTTGTCAAGGTTGTTTGGTGACAACCTGGTGCAACACATGGGTGTTTGTTGTAGGCGATTACACCACAGCAAGTTCACTGGACTGACCCACCAGAGGATTCCATATGGATGGTAACCCCAGTGTCTATGGAACAAATCCTCTAACGAATGGTGGTGCATGTAATCCTTAGACTTGAGATCACCGGAGCGCCTTGTGCACCGATTGGTGTAGTTTGACACTAGCCTAACGCAATTCTATTCAAAGCTGT